ATAACAGACTTTGATGATCCCCCAATGGAAGACCTCACTATCCTTGGAGAGTGGGTGTGGGGTGGGTTGGGGGGCTGGTGGAGGACAAAGGAGGATGGGAGGGAGAGGGAAGGGGGATTGATATGTAAACTTGGATTGTTTCTAAAATAAATAAATAAATAAAGCCAGATCTTGCTCACTGAACACCTACTGTGTGGAAGTGTCATTACTAAATCAGTCTCATCTAGAACCAATACTGAAAACCAATGGAACAGATAAGTGTTTACCACTGGGCTGTGAATACCTGCAAAATGGTACCTAATATGTGTTTGCTTGGGCAGGTGTGGTTCTATGTGCACAGCTGTGTGTGAATGTCTTAGATGCCTTGATTGTTATTTGTTTCTGAAGAGGGAGAAAGCAGTTTTCAGAGTCTCGAAAGGGAGAATGACCCAATGTGATTTAGAAGACTTCTTGGAAACACAGTTAAGAACCTGCTGCCCTGACTCTCAGGAGTCCTGAAGCCACTTACTGTTCTTCAGTCTCTGGTTTTACAAATGGATAAAGCATGGTTCAGGCAAGCGCAGAACATTGAAGAACACTGATCAGCGAAGGATGAATTACAGATTCTTACATCTCTGTTATCTGACCTCTAATGGGAGAGAAGGAAACATCCTGTGCTGGAGATGGTACAACCAGCTTTGTAATTGGAGTAGGACGCCTGCAGCACCATGGGTTGGAAGTGGGGACAGGGGCAGGAACAGTGTATGCATTTGTTTCAGCAAGACAGCAGAGCAGGGAAGCAGGTAAAACACTGACGATTATCCAAGAAGTGCTGCCCATTCTGCCAGAGAGCACTCAACAGCTTATAGGGTTTTCAGAGGACTCCTGGAAGCCAGCAAGATGTGCCTTTATTGACTTTTGACCTATGAGGAAACTGAGAGGCATAAAGTGGGAAGTGATTGATCCAGGGTGACATAGTTCATAAGGGTATCCGAGTGTCACAGTCGTAAATCAGCTAGCTGGATATATTTGCACCCTATTAGTAGAGAACACTGGAGCAAGAAAGCGATTAGATTTTCAAATTGGGGGACATGGTAGTGATTTATTGATACAATGCCGACTTCAAATTTCTTTCAAATGTTGTGGTAAATGTGGAGGGAAAGGATTAACGGATAAGATTTTGTACCCAGGTTGGACTGCCTGTTTGTCTCAGTGTCATGCCTCAGCTTTTTCCTCCCTCTAGAGCTACCTACACCATGCTGGGCACAGGACTTTTAAGTGAGTACTCCAGGGCTTGTGTTCCTTCCTGCTATGATGGTGACCTGAACCTCTGTAGTTTCTCAGCAAGCCTGGGAAGGAGACTCCATTTGCCAAAGGAGATGATTTCACTAACACCGTCAGCTCTTTTTCTTTCCTTCTCTTCTCCCTGCTCTTTCACTGTGCTTCCTTGGGTCACTTCCTGCCTTGTGTCTTCCAAGAAGAAAATGCCAAGACTTTATCAACCACCCATGGAAAATATTCAGGCACAAAGGGAGGCTGCAAGCATAAGCAAAGAGTCTTCAAACATGGTCTGACCCTTGGGAAAGAAAGGGGGAAACATAAGATTGAGTGGGCAGAGGCCTGGGCTACCACGAGCTTATTAGAATGTTCTGTTTGGTCTGAGAGACAGTTGCAAGTCAGTCATGAGGCTGAGGAATCCTGTGTCACATGGTGAAAGATGTGGGCTGGTACATTCTGTGTTCAACCACTGGCCCATGAATATCAAGTACTCACTGTGCTTGCTAAGACATTACCAGAAGAGCAGAAGCTGGGACATGTATTCAATGTGTCCCTCAAAGGACATCAGAGATGATCTCTGAGTCTATTTCTAGATGCTCCAAATGAAGTCATAACTTGATAAGGAGTTGTATGTAGCTGAATTGAAGTCACATCATTGACCCTGTGTTCAACATCTATAGAAAGAGAGTGTCCTAGTGATTGTTCTATTGCTGTGAAAAGATACAATGACCAAGGCAGTTTATAAAAGAAAACATATTTAATTGGGAGCTTGCTTGTAGTTTTAGAGGGTTAGTACACAATCATCATGGCAGGAATCATGGTGGCAGGATCATTGGAGCAGTAGTTGAGAACTTACATCCTGATCCACACACAGGAGGTAGAGAGACAGTGAGAGAGAGAGAGAGAGAGAGAGAGAGAGAGAGAGAGAGAGAGAGAGAGAGAGAAAGAGAGAGAGAGATTGGGTCTGGGACATGGGCTTTTGAAACAAACCTCAAGGCTTACTCCCAGTGACACACCTCCTCTAACAAGACCACACCACCTAATCCTTTCCAAACAGTTCCATCAACTGGGAACCAAATATATGAGCCTATGAGGGCCACCCTTATTCAAATCACCATAGAGAATAATCACTGCTCAGCATATATGAATGTAGTCTCCTTAAGAGGTCTTGAATAATGTTTGTCCAGAGCCTAGGGCCTTCCCAGCATCTTATGCAGGGAGGAAAAGCAAGATAGATTGGAGCAGCAGACTTTGTAGTCTCCCTGTGTCCTGGGGACAAAAGCAAGCAAAAGAAAGAGAATACTCAAAGAAATGGGCACCTGAACCCTGAACCATACACTCTGATCCCAGATCCATCAGTGGCTGCCCTTTGACCTTGAACAAATCCCTTTAAGTTTCCATGAATTAATGCAAAGTTTGTCATCTGTCTTGAGTTACCAGGAAAATCAAGCGAGACATCAGAAGAAGCATTTCAAACCCCAGACCAAATGCATGGTACTATCACCTCCTTCTCTCCCAAAAGCATTAGAAATTATCCAGTGGGAACATTTTGAAGATCATCAAGCCTAAAATTATTAATTCAACTTACATATGCAAATGTCTGGGTTACTGTGTCTATGGGTTTCCCAAGGGGAAGCCAAGCTGGAGAGTTGCAAACCCCAGGGGAAGATGTGCTCAGCAAAGCAGATCTGCGATACACACTTTTAAAAAAATGTCATGGGTAGAAGAGGCAAAAGGACAGTAGTCATGAGGAAGAATGCCTGGGTTGAGATGCCTAGCCTTGCCAGTAGCCGCCTCCTGCCAGCCAGTAGCAAAGCTGGGCAGGGACTAGTGTGCTCTGAGCAGCTGGGAAGGCAGTCAGCTGGAACACAGACAATGCACCAAGTGACTGTACCCATCCATGCCTTGCAGGTTTCCATCTGATAAGGGAACAAGCAGCCTGGATTAGGTTTCAGAAAGTGAAGAAAATGTGAAAACACTTCTCTTGTGTTTTCCGAAGATTGCTTTGCTTCCCAGGCAACTAGTGTAGGAGGTAACTGTCCCAGAAAATGAAACGCCACAGCCATCTGTCCTGGGACTACTGGGATAGAAATCCTTTACACAGAAATTATTGATTGGGGGAATGGGAAGGTATCTCCATTGGTAAGCTATAGCACACATTCCCTTTGGTCTTAATAATAAAAACTCAGAGTCAGCTATCAGGGGGTGAAACCCAAAAGATCAGAGAGGCAAAGTGGCCAGCCACTAGAGAGTTCTTACCTCTACCAATGCTCAGACCAAAGGGGTGATCCTGTCCTCACACTGCTTCCTCAGACTGACTGCTCAGACCGTCTCTGAGCTCTTGCCTCCTCTCATCTTATATTCCTCTCTCCACCCAGCCATGTCACTCCTGTCTCCACCTCCTTAGTGCTAGGATTAAAGGCATGGGATCCCAAGTGCTGGAATCACCTTTGTGTGAGCTCTGTTTCTCTTTTAGACAGATTCAATCTCATGTTGCCCAGGGTGGTTTTGAACTCACAGAGATATATCTACCTCTGTCTTATGAGTGCTTGATTAAAGGTGTGTGCCACCACCGCCTGGCCTCTATGGTTAACTAGTGTGGCTAGCTCTGTGCTCTGATCCTCAGATAAGCTTTATTTTTTATAACATAAATAAAATATCAGCACAGTAAGGAGTTAAACCCTGTTTTGCAAGCATTCAGGCATGAGTTCGATTCCCAGCACACAAGTGTAAGAAACTGGGCATGTTCTTGAAATCTGCACGCTGGGGTGTAGAGATAGTCAGAGCCCTGGAGCATGCTGGTCATGGAGTCTAGCTTACTTGATAGCTCCAAACCAATGATTGGCCCTGCCTCAAAATGAAGGTATACAGCATCTGTGGCCTGTTGTGGAATATTAGTTAAAGATGTGTTATATTTGTTTATGCTGTGGAACATTTGTGTTAATGTTGCATTTGCTAACGCTGTGAAGTTGTGATACTGTGCCTGTCTAAAACACTTCATCGGTCTAATAAAGAGCTGAATGGTCAATAGCTAGGCAGGAGAGAGGGGTAGGTGGGGCTGCCAGGCAGAGAGAATAAAAGGAGAAAAAGAGAAGGTCAGGGGAACAAGCAAAGAAGAAGAGAGGACACCAGGAGCCAGCTACCAAGCAACACAGCAAGCCACAGAGTAAGAAGTAAAGAAATATATATAGAAGAGACAGATAAAAGCACAGAGGGAAAAGGTAGATGAAATATTCTAAGTTAAGAAAAGCTGGCTAGAAAAAAGTCAAGCTAAGGCTGAGTAGTCATAAGAAAGAATAAGCCTCCCTCCACTAGATTTATTTGGGGGCTGGGGGCTGGGACTACCCAAAAGAGTTATGACTAAAAAAATCAGCCATCAACAGAAGAATGACACTGAGGTTGACCTCTGGTTTCTATATACACATACACATGTGTATGCATGCAGTTGCACATGTGTGCGAATACACACACACCTTTGCTGACTAGAGAACTTAAGGGAACTAAACATTGGGTTGCTAGACTTAGCAAATAAACTTCCCCAAATATTCTAGATAGATTCTAATATTCACAGAAAATTTTAGTATTTATATGTCTCATGTAATTAAGGATATTTAAATTAAGAAATAACATAGTTCTTAGTATGGGCATGCCCATGCCATAAAATCAAAATTGAAAAATAAAATGTAAAAGTTGATTAATCTTTTTGTTTAACTGAAGTACAAATTTACCTGGGAGTAACTTACCTGATTTTGCCTGTGTAGAAGAGAAAAAGATGTCTGTCTCACACCACTGCTGACTTTGTTCCAACATTTGAGTCATTCCATCCAGAATCTGATCCAGCGATCTGGATCCGTCCCCTCGTAAAGAAAGTTGCAAACCCCTACTTCAGCAGATCTCTCCAAGATACACTTCGCTCTGAGGGCTATGCTGCAATCGAGTCTGTTGCTGGGACACATCATTAAAAGACAGGGCAGAGAAATGTCACATCTAAAAACATGCTCCAAAACCAAAGAAGCTGAAGTAACTTTAATGCCGTTCTCCCCCAAAACATCAAAGTTCTTCCCACTAGCTGCCATAGTGTTTGCCCTAACCCATTGCTTCACAACTGCCTCCCGCACCTGCCTTTCCTCTTTTTATTCCTTCTTCAGTCCCATCTGTCTCAACACAATGCTTGCACAGCACTTGCCTTTTACTCCTGTCTGGAAATCTCAGCTCTTCAGGGGGTGGGTACTCACCTCAGCTCTTCAGGGGGTGGGTAGCTCACCTCAGCTCTTCAGGGGGTGGGTAGCTCACCTCAGCTCTTCAGGGGGTGGGTAGCTCACCTCAGCTCTTCAGGGGTGGGTAGCTCACCTCAGCTCTTCAGGGGTGGGTACTCACCTCAGCTCTTCAGGGGGTGGTTAGCTTGCCTCAGCTCTTCAGGGGGTGGGTAGCTCACCTCAGCTCTTTAGAGGGTGGGTAACTCACCTTAGCTCTTCAGGGGGTGGGTAGCTCACCTCAGCTCTTCAGGGGGTGGGTAGCTCACCTCAGCTCTTCAGGGGGTGGGTAACTCACCTCAGCTCTTCAGGGGGTGGTTAGCTTGCCCCAGCTCTTTAGGGGGTGGATAGCTCACCTCAGCTCTTTAGAGGGTGGGTAACTCACCTTAGCTCTTCAGGGGGTGGGTAACTCACCTCAGCTCTTCAGGGGGTGGGTAGCTCACCTCAGCTCCTCAAGGGTTAGATAGCTCACCTAAGTTCTTCCAAATCTCCAATTTATTAGTTCCCCTAAACTGTAAACGGAGGCTGAAAAAATAAGGGCAATGCTGTATTTTATGTCTGAACTGTCTCTAAATTGGACTCAGACCCTAAAATTCTCAGTTGACTACCGGTATTCTCTTGTATCTCTCCATCCCTTTATCCATTTAGCCATCAGTTCAGTTTGTTTGGAAAACATTGCAAAGCTGGTTGCTGACATCGGCAACTTTCTTTCCAGACAGATCTCCAAGCACACTGTTTTATTTTTAAATGACCCCTGTGAAGGACATTACAAAATAACCTTTTGCATGTGATGCAGATGCTGGTAGCCCTCCATCCCTGATGAAATGTAGGTCAGTCTCTCTCCCACTTTCCCAAGCTTGAAAGTATCATTTCTCAATGTGTATGTGACAGAACCCTGGGTTGCAGCTACATGGAAGAGGAGAGTTTCTGTGGACAAAATGTTTGAAAGACTTGGGATTAAATAAAGTCTTGAAACTTTTCTAACTGAGGCCTTTATTTATTTTTAGGGTACTATGCATATAAGGAGAGGTAACACCTTTAATGTACTTGGCCTTAAGACCCTATATTTCTTATAAGACCTTGTGGTAAAGTGAATTCCTCACTGGGCAAGTACATCTATCCTAAGCCTCACCCTCTTCTTCCTCTTAGCTCACACACTGTATAATTTTCAGTTCTTGGTTCTCTCCATGGTTATGTGGAAAGTGCTTCCAGTCACTAGAGTTGTTTCTGCCTTGATTATCATGTATCTCTCCACTGACTGTCCCTGAAACACATCTTTTGTTAATAGTGATGTCGCAAGTTTGGAAATGTGGAGTGTAGCTTTAACCTGCATGAAATCCTCTTTGATAGTAAGGACAGAAGGACAGATCACATATTGCTTGATAAGCTCACATCTCCCTTATGAAATTTCATTTAACCTTAAGGTCCATCTGGGAGTGCACTTTGTCATCCAAGTTTAGTCTTCCCCACTGTCAGGGAAGGGATCACAGGTGAAGGATTCTGGAAATTGTCTGAGTTATCATTAGAAAAACAGAATAATATGATCTGAAATGACCTTAATGATGTCACTGGCCTTGCATCCCATTCTCCAGCAGGAACTGTGCATGGGTGGTTGACCTGGCTTTCTAACTTCTTTCATGAAGAAAATTGCTTTCAGATCCCCCTTACCAATCTGTCATGATGTTGCAAATACATTCTCTACCCTCAAAAGACAACAAATATATTGTAAATGCCAGCGTTTCTTTAGCACTTAAGAAATGCCTTTATCACGAAAAGGGAAGGAGAAAGGGGGCTACTTATGCATGTTTTGTTAGAGCCTGAAAGCCTTATGTGCAAAGCCAGAACAGGGGATTGAACAAGTGTGGCCTGACTCACTGGAAAGGAGCCCATGTGGTGGTCAACCCAACAGAATGAGAGCAAGACCTAGTGCAGTGTCTCCATCCAAAACGGCGAAAACATGACTAGGGGCCTCCAGAGTGTTATGGGCTCATCTACTTGGTCTGTATCTATTTCTTTACTTACTTTTTAAACCTGGCAAATTTCCATATATCCTCTCACTTGTCTGAGGCTTCTAAGTGGACCTATATCACCTCATTTATCCAGAAACGCCATCCTGTAACAATCAAGTGCACAACACCATCCTAGAGGTGTGATGAAATAGCATAGGGAGAGAGAATAGGCTACATATTCTTTAGTACTAAACACTAAACACAACACCACCAGTCTTACCCATAGACATTGAAAGAAACTGGTATAAAGCAAAAATTGAGATAATTTCAAACATGTCTGGGAAGAGACGAGGTTTGAAGAGATTGGAACCTGCTTATTAATGTATGATACTAGGTTTGTAAACAGCAGGGATAGTCCAAGAACACAGAGTTTTACTCTTCCATTATTGCCAGGCTTTTCCTGATGTACCTGTTCCCAATGATGCTTTGGAGCTCATTGTTTTAGGCACTAATAGCCCCAATTAAATAAGCCTGGCAGATGTAAGCACAAGCTTCTCTTTCTCAAGTTCATTCGTGTGCCTGTGATGATAGGTAGAGTAAGAGAATCAACACGCACACATCTTTATCAGGAAACATGGTCTCACATGCAGAGGGAGTATTTAAATATACAGGTACAAGATGGTGCTGAGATGAGGATTGTGCATGCTCACCACTTATGATGTTTCATAGAAAACATAACTCCATCCCTTCCAATATTCCCGTCTCACAGTCCACCCTTCATGATCCACTATTTGTTTACTGTCTGCGTTCTCCGATCAGTGTAAGTCCTGAGAAGTCAGGGCTTTTCTGCTTTTAAGACAGGTACCTACAAGGCCAGCAGCTTGAAGCTTGGATGCCTGTTTCTCCTAGAGAAGAACACAAGTAAATAAGCGGTCTCAGTAATAGGAAGCACGTGGACCTGGTTGCTGGCTACACGTCAGTCAAGAGGCTGGCAACTTTGTGAATGCCACACCAACTAATTGACACAGGGGTCCCATTATGCCCTGCAATGCAGACCATCATTCCTGTTTCCTCATGAAGATTTATCTACTGTGCCTTTGGGCCCAGTGCCTTTTCAAAGCCTATGGCTTTTTAGAACCTCTTAGTTTCTCAAATAGCCATTCAATCAAGAAAAAACCAACAAAGAACACTTAGAAAAAATCTTAGTTTCTCTCAGCTTATGATTCTCTTTCAAACTGTATTTGTTTTGAATTCATGCTATAAGAACAACTCCTAACTCCAATGAATAAATGTCCCCAAGTTCCACTTCTAAAAAAAGAAAACATAACTCCAGGGAGAGTTCTGCCTCTCTCTCTCTCTCTCTCTCTCTCTCTCTCTCTCTCTCTCTCTCTCTCTCTCTCTCTCTCTCTCTCTCACACACACACACACACAAGCCAAATATTTTTCCATATATACACTTTTTGGCAGAATGTGCTAAGTGCATGCTAGCTCAACACCATTCCACTATGCTGAGGCACAGTGTGGGTTCTTGGTGGCTGCCTTTTAAAAGAGTGGGCACACTGGTTTGAAGTCACGAGAGACTTTAGCATGACTTGAGGCACAGTGGGAAGTCTTTTTTCTTATTCAAGAAGACTTTCTTAGAAAATGGGTTTTATCTTTAAAGCAAGCTAATAATTAGGCATTTTCACCATCTTTTTCCTGCTTCGCTTTCTCTGCACCATGGTATCTCTTGCTGGCATTTAAAGAAAGCCAGATTTGGCACTAACATACTGAGCTGTTGGGTAGCTTTTTTTCTCTTCCAGCTGAAGTTATAAAAAGGCCACTTAAAATTTGAGATATATGTGTATACTACAAAAATAGTGAGATACTCAAACAAACTTCGAAGTGTCTTTCTTAGTTTTCTTTCTTTTTTTTTTTTTTGGTGAGAAGAGAATCCAGTATGCCAGGCTATGAAAAGTACCTAAAAATCTGCTAGCTTCATTTAAGCTTTGACTTTGTAGAATTTTTTTTCTAGGTGACCTCATTTTAAAGCGCTCCATTTCCCCAGTGTGGCTTCTCTGTCAAACCATCCAACATCAGCCTTGATATTTCCATATACATTTCTATGGGAACAAAGGCTCTCCACAAACGTCCCCTGAGCAAGGCTCAAATGGAACAAGGCTGAGAGCTCATCAGATCATTTTCTCCCTGTCTCCACTTTTTTAGAAATGAGATCATATCTTTTGTGTTGTTGTTCTTGACTGGGTCTAATCAGGTCACCCAGAAGGACCTGGAATTTGCTATGTAACCTGGATTGGCCTCAGATTTGCAATCCTCTGTCTCCTCTTTTAGAGCACTGGGATTGCGGATGTGTGCCACACACTGAGCTAAGATCATTTCATTGCATAAGGCCTTGCCCATTATAACCTTGTCATTATTAAGGTATGCATTGGGTAAGGACCTACTGAGAGCTTTAGCAAATAAATCTCCACATGCACCATGGACAAAGCATGGTAGGAGTTTATTTCTTGTTGATCTTCGAAAATGAACTTCAGCAGGGGCCTCTCTTCCACACACTGATTCCAAAACGCAAGCTCTGTTCATCCGGGGTTCTCTGAATCATCATTCATGGCTTCTGGGTTCACCTCCAGGAAGCTCATTAGAAGAAGGGGTATGGAAGATGGAGTGTAGCACTAGCATCTACCTTCACAGTCCACCGGTTAGAACTCAGTCACATGGTCCCCCAGTGGGCTGAAAATGCAGCTTAACCACAAGCCCAGAGAAAAGGTAATGGGGCTTAGTTGTGTCTATACAACTTGTGGTCCAGAGATCATTTGACAGGTGTCCAGCCTCTATCGCAAAGGAAACGGTGGCAGTCTTAAATATCATTGTATGATGATGCAGAACCTTGCCTTTTCATTTGAAAAATGAAAAGTTGGACTAAATGATCCTTAAATTTTTTGACTGCCTGATAGAGATACTCAGTTATGCTCACTGGACTGTCCTGACAAGGCCAAAGAGAACTAGTGTATTTTAGGGAAAACACACACACACACACACACACACACACACACACACACAAATGTGTTCTCTGATAATTTACTTACTCAGAAAATCCAGCCCACCAAAGTACCTTATTCCCCATGAAATGTGATCAATGATTAAAACACTTTGTACTGAATCACATGTTTTGCTGATGGGCAGATGCCAGTTTCTACACACTGCCAAACCAGTACTTGCTCCACCTCTGAGTGTCTTCACCAGCATCAAGAGTCCTGGGCCATGAACTCAAGCTACTGCTGGTATTCTAAACACAGAGTGTGTGCTTGTGTGTATGTATGTGCGCGCGTGTATTTATTTGTGAATTTATCTCTCTATATACGTATGTTCGTGTGTGTATCTGTATGTGTATGTATCTCTGTATGTGTATGTGTTTGTGTGCGTATCTCTGCATACATGTATGCCTGCTTGTCTGTTTCTTCTAAGAGAGAGAGAGAGAGAGAGAGAGAGAGAGAGAGAGAGAGAGAGAGAGAGAGAGAGCATACATAATATGGAGTTGTGCCTTCTGAGGTCCCTGTAACTACAGTGTCTCAGAGATCTAAGTATCGGTCTGCATAACAACGTGCAAGGGTAACTACACCCATGGCCAAGCTCATCATTTAATCACTTCTCTAGTAATGAAATGAGC